AAAGATAATTTATGATTGTATATAACATAAGAAATGAACAATTAGGATATGAGATTATTTTTAAAGCCTATCTAGATGAATGATTAACACCGTATTAAATTACTAAATTAATTAGTGTTTGAGCGTACTAGTGTGTATATTTAAGCGTACGACGAAACTGCAATTCATTTACTTCCAAATGAACAAAATATCTTTGCAAGTGCCCCTAGTTCTACTAAAATGGCGGAGATGAGTGTTGTCCTTACATCATAACGTGAGTTCGAATTTTGTTGGCTCCCTAATCTAACATATAATCTAACAAATTTATCATTTTAATAAAAATCTCAAAATATTTAATTCTAATTTTTTTTTCTTATTTCTTATTAATTTAATAAAAAGAATAAAGTAAATCCTGCTACTTTCTTCCATACCTGCTGGCATGGTCTAAAATATCCATAATATTCTGATATTTCTATCGAAATTTCCGTGTTTTTGGACTACCGATATTTCCGATATCATCAATATTTTAGACCTTGCTAAGTCACTCATGTATATTACTATGCAATGTATAAAGTGTAAAATATTGTATTAATTCATTATATATAAATGATTATAGTGTGTTTAAACTTCTTTCATTAATTACTACATGTTTTCTACACTTACAATATTTGCTAACTCACTATATAATCAACTTAAATCAGTTATATCTATCATGCAATGCATTTACTTCCAATTTTTTGTGATAAACTAATAGATAATTGACTAAATAAACATCCTGCAAAGTTTCAATAAAAATCTCTATGTTTTTTTTTTACAATTTATGTGGTTTTTATTCAATTTTTATCGATATCGATAATATCTCGATATTTCCATTGAAATTTCCTCGTTTTTGGACTACCGATATTTCCGATATCATCGATATTCTATACCTTGCTGGAATAGTTGTAAGGAGGATTCTGGGGACTCTCAATGACACATTTATTGCCTTGGTTCCCAATCGTTTGGTATGCAGACGGGACCGGACGGAACAGAATGGGATGGGACGGGACAAGACGGGATGGAACGGAGAGGAAGTAAAGATGCCTTCGGATGGAAACAAGAAGGAAGAAGAAGGAGACGAATAGAATATAATTTTGTGTTCCACAGATGTGGAACGAGTCGTTCCAGTGAGTGAGGTGGAACGAAAATTCATCCAAAATTCGTCTCGTGGAACAGCGCGTTCCACCTATTTTAGACGCACCATAAGTGAGACAGAACATCTCCTCACTCCATTTCATTCCGTACCACGTACTAAACGGTATCAAGGTTCCCAGTCCAATGTCCATGCAGACCTATTAGCTTTGAATGCACTTATTTCTATCTCACCAAAATATGAATGGGTCCAGAAAGCGACCTGTAGGTATGCCCTTCGTACGTAACGATTAATAATCATTAAAAGCACTCTGCATGCGTGCAGAGAGAAAATTAACTCTTATATAAGGACTTGTATTATCAGCCCTTCCATCCCATATCAATTTCAATTCCACGTCCTTCTATATTTTATGGTTACAGTTAAGTTACGAGTCACGTTAATATTTTATATTGAATTTTTTTATAAAAATAATAAGATAAAAAGTAATAAGAATATAAAGTGTTATTGGCATTCCAAAAATTTCATTATACACTCCTCACAAGTGTATTTTTCTTTCTAAATATAGAAATTTGGAGTGTAGAATGAGGAATTTGGAGTGCCATAACAATTCAAAAAAAAAAAATTGTATTCCATATAAAAATATTTACCTAAAACTTTTAAATAGCAGATCACTTGGTACTGCAGTCTAGTTATATTTCTTTTACTTGTAAGTAAAAAAGTCTTAAGCTCGATTATCGTCAAAAGTGAATCTGAACCACTTTATTGTGGCTAGCCTGGTGTGAAGTTTAACGCATTCCCCCTTAAGATAAATAATATCGTTCGTTAATAATAATAATAAAAAACTCCCAAATAACGTGTAAACTGTCACATCCCGGCCCGAGTCCACCACATCCCGGGCCCTTTCTACCACCATAGCACGATATTGTCCGCTTTGGGCTTACCATTCCCTCACGGTTTTGTTTTTGGGAACTCACGAGCAACTTCCCAGTGGGTCACCCATCCTGGGAGTGCTCTGGCCTCCTTCTCGCTTAACTTCGGAGTTCCTACGGAACTCATAGCCAGTGAGCTCCCAAAAGGCCACGTGCTAGGTAGGGATGAGAATATACATTTAAGGATCACTCCCCTGGGCGATGTGAGATGTTACATAAACATTTTGTTATCTTTTTTTTTAAATAACATAAGCATTGTTCAATGTTTATTTATAGAATATAGTACATTTATTAAGTACAATAGGTACTTATTTATATGATATATAATAAATTTAAGTAAATCTACCTAAGCCTAGGCTAGGTCCTAGCCCGCCGCCCAGTTAGTGCCTAGCGTTTTTTAGAATATTAGTTTGTATTGATAAATTATGAACAATATTACTCTTGTCTACTCAGATTTGGTTGTTTACATTTTTGAGATATTTTACCCTTTTAAGTTTTGCCTTTCCCCTTGACGATTCCTGGCTTCGCCACTAACAAAGGCATAAAACCAAACTACAAAAGACTATCATAGAGGAGATCGACGATGAAAAACAAAGGACTATCAAACCATTCGAAGTGCCAATACTCAGGCTATAGCGGGCAAGATGATGAGCAACGATGTTGAGTTGGCAACGAGAAATATGGATACACACATCTTTAGTGATTGTAGGGAGCAACATTTCGTATCCTCCGCGATATATTCGATAACAGTTTAACTGACGTGCAACTTATGTCTTGCATGTGCAATTTAATTCACGTACAACTTTAGTTGTTAATGCCTCTTTGAGGATTTCCTTCCAATTTTTGGCACGTTTTTCTTTGACAGAAAAGGAGAAGCTACCATAAAATGTGATGGGTGAAAAGCACACAGTTGATATAAATAGCTAGAATTGATAATTATTTGTCGCAGAATATAATGCATAGCGTTGAAACATCATTTATGAACATACAGCAAATGTAGGTACATGGTACACCATATATATCATAATCACACTTTACATTTGTGGGACCATGCCACACGTCACATTTAGTGTGAACAGACTTCAGAAAAGAAATCTACCATGCTCAATTTTCATTTGATTGGAGGAATCCTCGGATTTGATAGGAAGTTGTGGCTCATAGCCCCTTGTTGTGAGTATATTTATAATTTGTTAAAAACAAAGAAAAAATTATTGATTAAGGAAATCATCGTTTATTACTATGGACAAGGATTGTCTGCCCTCCCACTTTCGGTGCCCTCCCATGCCCTCCTGTTTATGTGGTCACGGTTAAGCCACGTCAACATTTTATATTACTATTTATTTTTGTTTTATTATCTATATATAAAATAATATAAAATGTTGACGTGGCTTAACCGTGACCACACAAAACAGGAGGGCACCGGAAATAGGAGGGTACGGGAGGACACCGGAAGTAGGAGGGCAGACAATCCTTGTCCTATTACTATAGCACTCCAAGTTGGACAAGGATTGTCTGCCCTCCTTGTTCCCGTGCCCTTCCATACCCTCCTGTTTGTGTGGTCACGGTTAAGTCACGTCAACATTTTATATTACTATTCATTTTTGTCTTATTATCTCTATAAAAAAAAATATAAAATGTTGACGTGACTTAACTGTGACCACACAAAAACAAGAGGGCAGACAATCCTTGTCCCTCTAAATCTCCAATGAATTGAGTCATGACCCCACCTCACTCCTTTCAATATAAATCATTGACATAGTACACTCATGGATTATAGAGTCAATAAATCGAACCACTCACACATAAGCCAAATATTTATGTGAGGTCTTATAAAGAGCTATCCTCACGTCAGCGACAACATCTGCACTATTCCTCATCATAGTTAGTAACTTAGTGATAAAAATAAATTCTAGTCCTTTGGAAACTGTGCATACTAAATTATGCTAAGTTAATATCATGTTTTATGGTGGCAATTGTGCTTTTATCAATTTTACACACACGGACATAAATTACTCCATTTTGTGGATGTACGCGGGATCTAAACATTAGAAAATTATATTTTAGTCCTTAAAAATGATCACTTTTAAATAAATACCGTAAGGAAGGGTGTTCATTGGGTTTCTCGGGAACGGCTAAGAATGTAGAAACACAATGGCGGTTTGGGCTTCAAAGACATTCAATGTTTCAATCTCGCCTTTTTGGCTAAGATTGGATGAAGGCTTATTCACAATCTAGAGTCCCTTCTTGCCACTGTGTTGAGAGATAAATACTTTCCGGGGAAGACATTCAGGGAAGTAGGTGGTGGAAGGGGAACGTCTTGGGGCTGGAAAGGCATTTTTGAAGCACGCAAGGTGCTAGATAACGATATTCGGTGTCGGGTGGGTGATGGAACTTGCATCAATATTAGGGAAGACCCGTGGTTTTCCAAACCTTCTACCTTCAAGGCTTAGACGCGGGAGGGCTTGCAAGGAATTAAAGTGATTATAGTCAGTGAGCTAATTGATCCAGTCTCAATGACTTGGATGACTGACATCATCTCTGCAGGATTTTACAAGGACGATGTTGCACAGATTCTCAGTATCCCCTTAAGCAGAAGCGGGCGCAGTGACAGGTTGGTCTGGCACTACTCTGAGAATGGGTCATAAATGGTTAGGTCTAGATATGGGGTTGCATTGGGGCTTTTGGAGAATGGATCACTGGGGAGGAAAGGAAGGGGATCGCCAAGTTTGAAAACGAACATCAACCAAGTGTGGAACAAGATATGGAGTTTAGAGGTCCCAAACAAAATGAAATTCTTTGTCTGGAAGTGTTGTAATAATGCTTTGGCAATCAGAAGAAATTTGAACAGAAGACATATGCATATTGATAATGTATGTGTGGTGTGCAACCAAATTCATGAGACAGAAAACCACATATTCTTCAGGTGTGAAATCAGCCACCTATTTTGGTTTTGCTCCCCAATGCAACTTAACTCCTTTGAGTTGGAATGTGCTGATTTCTTGGCAACTTGGGTGAGTTTTTGCAACCGAGTCAAAGGGAAGGAGAACGAAGGTGAAATTTTGCAAGAATTTGTTTTTGGGCTCTGGCGTCTTTGGAAAAACAAAAATGAGATGGTTTTCAAGGGTGGTCACCGACAACCTTTAGAGATTCTGGAGCTTTGGAAAAGGAATATTTCCGAGTTTAGAGATGCAAGAATGCAAGGGGACGAGGGTGCAAATCAATATGAGGCCACGAGGGTTGAAGCACCGACAAGATGGAGTGAGCAATGGCGGAAGCCAGGGTTCGGGACCATTAAGGTCAACACCGGTGCGACTTGGTGCAAGGGGACCCTGTGCGCTGGTGTGGGCTGAGTGGCCCGCGATTTTACAGGCCTGTTACAAGCGGTGGAAGGCTCGAGCGGTTTATTCTGTCACAATGCGGTTGCGGTTGAGGCCAATGCAATTCGTGACGCCTTGGAGTTTTGCATTAAGCAAGGTTTCAACACTATGATTGTTGAATTTGATGCTAAGGTTCTTATCCAAATGATCAGGAAGGAGCTTAGCCATGAGTTTAGTTTGGAATGTATACTTGGTGACATCGAGACTCTAGCATGTGGCTTGGAGTTGGTGACTTTCGAATTTGTTTCTAGATAAAGTAACCGTGCGGCTCACTTGGTGGCTAAGTATGTGTTTAAGGAGGGCCGGGGTTTTGTTTGGGATTTTATTGGGCCCGACTTCCTGTTTAACATCTTGGCACATGATGTAAATCTTTCTATCCGTCTATAAAATTTCTACCTTGAGTTAAAAATAAATAAATAAATATTGTAAGTAAGATTAAAAACTAATTTTAATCTTTTGACTCGTTTTCAAATCAGCATTTTGTATTCCACGTCATATTTAATTTCTTTTGTGTAATTTTATTGTTATGTTTTGTCTTCTTATACTACCCCTAAATATTGCTATTAAATGGTTTCACAATTGAATGAATTTTTAAAAAAAAAAATTAAAATGAGCATCCGGCATTTAAAGATGAAACATCAAAGGAATTAAAGATTAGGCTTCTTCTTTAGAAAACGAGATTAGGCTTCTGCAATTGAAAAAGAGATTAGGCAACCATCCATATCTTGGCTGATTTCTTCAGTTACATCTGCTAATTACGATTTTCCCCTTTTTTTCTCATCATTTGCATTAGGTCTCTCTCTATTTTCTTTCTGTTGGTTTTGAATGGCATATGCCTTGTGTATCTAGGTGGATTCCAACAATTTGCAATGAAGAGAATGTGTTCCAACTTCAGTAACTTTTTTGTGGCATTGTGCTTGTGATATTTCTTATTTTATTATTATTTTTGTTATTTTGTGTCTGTTGATTTTATTATCGGGTTTTGATCATTTTTGTTAGTGTATGAATTGTTGAGTTTGGAGTTGGGTTTGATCTATTGCATCTGTATTCGATTAGGTTCGATAAGTTAGATACATTCAAATAGGTACAATAATTTAGATAAATTCGATTAGGTACTATAATGTAGATATATTCAATTAGGTACAATGATTTAGGTACGTTTAACTAGGTACTATGATTAAGTGTTTTCAACTAGATACTATAGTTTAGATGTGTTTAGCTATAGGTACTAATATTTAGATACATATACTTTTTTGGTGTATTATATACGTGTGATACCTTGACTTTTTTTATCTTGTAATTTAGGCATGATGATATAATGAAAAATCTTTCCAGGCACTATAATCATGGAAGAAATCAAGCACAAATTAATCAAAGTCAAAATTAGTTTCCTAATAATGTGGAATATACCAAGAAGGTCGAATGTGTAGGGAAAAATTCCATCTTCACCAATTTCTGATAAGTTTTTTGCAAATCACTTAAAGCCTAAACTTTTTATTTTTATTTTTAAAGAAACTGACTTAGACATCAAAGATCCATTGGCGAGATGGGCTCAAACCCTCTCCATCTCGTGTCTGCATAAGACTTTAGCCTTATTCAAAGGTGTTTATTTGTTTTGTAGCTACAATTATGTCAAGACTGAAGCCGGTGAAATTTTACTGCTAGATGACATGTATTCCACTTGTAAAATGCTTGTCCTAACAAAATGAAATGGCATTGTCAAGAATGTGTCAGTGCGACATTAGCCTTCTAGAAACGATTATCTTTTTTCTTAATTAACTGCCAAATAAAACATGTGGAACCTGATAGCTCTTTCATACTATATAAAACTTAGAGGCTTGTAATTTGAGTATCAAACTCAAAACCTAGTGATCTTTAGTAATGAGTACATGGCGCGGTGATGCAAGGAAGGGAGGGGCTAAACACTTTATAAGCCTTTGCAATTTTTTATTTTATTTTAAACTTTTCAATATTGGACAATTCTTCACATATGTAGTAATATAAACATCAAATGTTGTCAGACTACACATTTGGCTGTCACTTACAATCATATACAGTAAAATCTCCCTAAAAGTTATACAGTTGGGGCCAAACCAATTTTATAACTTTAGGGGTGGTTATTACTTAATACAGGTGTAGTTAATGTTGTATTTCCTAAATAGGATTCCTTGGGCTCCTCCAAGTATTTTATTTCTTGCATATGTTTGTAGTCATTGACAATTATAACTACATAGAGGCGTGTTTTCTTAAGATGGGACTAAAAAAAATTATAACTTATCACAATATGGAGTTTATTTCAATACCTAACTGGTCCTAAGTTAGGACTGAAATTTTTTATGACTTTAAAGCACTGTTCTAAAAATCCCCGTCCAAGCGCTAGGTAACTGGCCACTGCCACGAATAATCCCTAGGCATTTGAAAATAAAGAAATGATGCCTAAACCTACTTATGCACTTGCCTGGAGCGCTAGGTGCTCGACTAGCTCGCCTGGACCCACCTAGGCACCCCCGCCTAGGTCATGACTCTTACTTAAACAAAAAACAGATAACTTTCATTTGCAATTTTTTTTTTGATAAATTGTAAGAGACTTGTTAAATACTTAGATTAACACACATTATATGTTTGTTCCCCATGTTTTCATTATGTTCTAATACTTTAAAATCTATATGTCATTATATTTTTGCAATTTATATATCTCAATGAAATTATGTATTTTTTTAAGTGTAAGAAGGTACTTATTTATATGATATATACAATAAATTTACTTAAATTTGTCTAGCCACCTAGGCGCTAGGCTCTAGCCTGCCGTATGACTATCGCCTAGCATCTTTTAGAACCTTACTTTAAAGAGGTTATTCCATTATAGAGTACTACTTTAGAGAGGTCTTAGTGTAACAAGAATGCTGCTTATTTTAATTAAGGGGGCTTTAATGAAAAAGGCTTGGGTTAATTTTATTTTAACAAAAAATCAATCTATAACTTTATTTAATGAAAAAGACTTAAACTTTAACGAAAATGACTTAAATTTTAATGAAAATGACAAAAGTTTAATATAATAA